TTCCATACAAACTCTGTAATTTTTGGTCTTTCTCTGACCCCCCTACTCTTCGGAAATCCCGAATTCCTTTGTGGGGTGGGTATGGATAATTTCTGGAACTACATGTTTAGAATTTAGAAACTTTTAAGCGTTTTTTTTTTCAAACTTTTAAAATCAATTAAATTTTAATTGTGGAACAGCTACTGGACTGATGATGATAAAGATGACAATGATTAAGATTATTCTCTAGTGTGACTATTGATAATTGTTTTGTATTTAATATTATTGCGTCTTCTTTAGGCTGTACTTCCAGAATGCAAGGAGTATGTTCCTGATGAAAATGACTCCAAAACTGAAACAGCTCGTGAAAAGCTGGTGAGTTATTTTGTTGTTTTCTTTTGTAACAGCACAGTTAATTAGCATGTACCTGTTGATACAAACCTTCATTACGGGTCAGACATTCTTTAGTAACTGAGCAAAATTCTCTGGCTTACACTACAATGATCTTCTATTATTTCAAAACTGAACAAGATGCCTACCTTTCTTTACATTCATCAGGAATATTGATGCCATAATAACACCAATCAAGATTTTTTTACCAACATGATTTTAAATTATTTGTCAAAATTCTCTCTCTACCGTTCTTAAAAATATTGCATTCTTTTAGAAATTGAATTAGATTTGAATAAAGCTAACTGGGTTTCATTTCTCATTCATTTCTCATTCATTTACTTTTTCTATCCCAGGTTTGGAGTCCCATACTAGATGACTATGACTTGATGATGTATCTTAGGGCATCCAGGTAATATATTAATAGTAATAATATATTATTTATAGTTTATAATTTTCAATATATTTATATATTGTGCAGAGGCTTTGCACCATCACGTGATGGCAGCCATGACAGGAGGCAGGAACAATCAAATAAGAATTAACTGGTTTACATGAGAAAGAATCCATTTTCCCAGGGAAAAGAGACTATTACTATTGTTGTGCCCCCTGGCACCATCACCTATTAATTTTCACGTTGAACATTCAAAGAGTGATAGCTGGTTCTTCCCAGCCAGAGGCTCATGATGCAAATTATCTCCTAATTTATTATCTCCTTCAGTTTCGTCGGTAAACAAGAGGTTAATACTAAAATTTGATGTGTGTTTTTTTCTAGGAGTATGGCACAGTATGCAGGGATGTGTAACGGTGGGACACCAGAAGACGGCTTTAGGGCCATGTCACAAGATGCTACTACAAGCAATGCTCTTGACTTGGTAAGAAATTTTTAAAAAGTCAGTCTCGAATAATCCTACAAGCTGACAAGCTACCACTGGGCACTACCACTAATGCTGGTCGCCATTTTGATGGTACTTTTCTCAACTTTTCAAAAGTATTTCTTAGATAAATTATTTGTTTCTTCATACATTTTCTACACATTTTGAATAAATATATTTTTAAAATATTTTCTTTTGATGACGAATGTCTCCAAGGCACATGTTTATGGCGTATAAAGATTCGATTGCCTGGCTTGTGGAGGTCAATTATGATAAAGTTCTTCAGTTCTGAACTAGTGATTTGATTGTTCATCATAAATACCATTTACATGTATGTTAATTGTTTTATTATGGTAATATTTTATAATGCTATCTATTTTAGTTACATGAAAGCAGTTATGACTGTGCAAAGGCTTTACAAGCCCTCGTCAAGAAACCATATCCTAAGGAACTGAGAAAAAAGTGGACAGAAGATGATATCGTAAGTAATCTGCATTTTCACACATCCATTCATTCACTCGTCCATGGATCAATTCATCTATCAAACCATCCATACAGTCAAGTTCACCTATCCACCCATCCATCCATTCTTTCAACTACCAAAAATCTTCACTAATGCATTTTTTTTTGTTAACAGAAAAAGTTTGTTAAAGGTCTTCGTCAATTCGGCAAAAACTTTTACAAAATTCACAAAGAACTATTAAACCACAAGAAAACCGTAAGTACATTATTCATCCCATCTCATTTATCTTGTTCCATGTCCGAGGATCCTGCGAGGACAGGTGCCTAACGGAAATGGTATGAAACCTTCTATGATATTATATGTACTGCATGAAAATCAGAATACCACCAAACCAGGAATTCAGTGAATGTGTGGATATCAGAAGCATATTTGTTGGGTGTCCATTATTTTCGTACGAAGAGGATTGCCTTTTTGGATTTTCCAGGAAAAAATAATCAGAGTACTGGGCTGTGTATGATATTTGCAAAATCTAACATTAATTTTTGTTCTTTTTTCCACAGAGTGAACTAGTTGAGTATTACTACATCTGGAAAAAATCTCATTCTGCCGTCAGCTCCAGGCCTCACAGAAGACGCCGTCATAATGTCCTTAGGCGTAAAGCATGCACTAGAAGTAGTAGAAGTACCTCTAACGAATTCGGTAGGTGAACATAGTAATGGTAGAGCAAATCCTGTACGACGTGAGAAATAATAATTTACAATTGACCTGATCCACCGTTTCCCCATTTCAGATCACTCGTCACTCCCTAGGGTATCATTTCTTTGTTTATCAGTTGTGCATGTGAAGACACATGAATATAGATACAACTCAAACAAAGAATCTTGTTATCAAGAAAAAGGCACGTGCTCTGAAATAGGCAAAACATTACATTAGATTTGGTCTATTGCATGCACAGTGATCATCTAGTGCAATGTAATTGGTTCAAAAGATGTGACTTTTCTATTATTTTGCTGTCACATGACATTGCATGTTTTCAATGGCTTTCGCTCTGAATCAGTAAAACAAGTTGAATACTGCACAGACCAATTGCAATACTTATTGATAGTTGTGTGCACATGCATGGAGCAGACTTTTTACTAGGGAGAAACTACAGATGTCAGCCTTGTGGACGTTGCTATTAGGCATATTGCTTGAATACACACACACATATAATGACTTGTTTTCTTGTTATTTTATTTTAGTGGATCTGACATCTTGCAGCGAGGATGATTATGACAGTGACGACAGCACAGAACGTGATCTTAGGTAAACCAAAGTGTTCATTAATGCTTTTCACGCTTGCCAAGAAAAGCCTTCAAATAAGCCTGAAGCGAGATGACGTTTTACCCCCGACTCTATACCATAATAGTTTTTTAAATTCTTTCATATTCAAATTTTTTATTCCTTAGAGAATACAGGAACAATAGTCATAATTAAAGAACAAAAGCAATGTGAGAAAAGGATTATGGTCTAGAGACAAGGGTAAAATGTCATCTCGCTTCAGGCTTATTTGATACCCTGAACAATCTCTGGGCTGATCTAAGTCAGGGCACAGCTAAATCACAGATCAAAACCTGAAACAACCTCTGAGCTGATCTAAGTCAGGGCATGGCTAACTCACAGATCGAACCCTGAAACAACCTCTGGGCTGATCTCAGTGATCAGGGCATGGCTAACACACAGATAGAACCCTGAAACAACCTCTGGGCTGATCTAAGTCAGGGCATGGCTAACTCACAGTTCAAACCCAAAACAACCTCTGGGCTGATCTAAGTCAGGGCACAATTAACTCACTGTTTGAATTGGAATTTAGCAGGTTTGGTTTTGCACGTGGAGGAAGGAAAATCGGAGAACCTGGAGAAAAACCCTTGAACAAGGAAAAGAGACCTACTCAACAGATTATACTCACATATTAATATTATGTTTATCATTTCAGTCTGTACTGTTGTCGCCATTGCTATACTAACAATTCCCGTAGCTGGCACCATGGTGGATACAACAAGGTCATCTTGTGCACCGATTGTAGGGTTTTCTTTAAAAAATATGGAAAATTGCCTCCAATTGAAGACGAGCGCAAACCTCCTTCTTTCATGTTCAAGTCGGACTTCAAGGAGACAAGAGATGATGATCCATGTYGGACTAACGGGAAACTTCTACGCAGCAGAAGAAATATGCCAATTGTTCAGAGTACGCTGCGATCTGGTAGAAACAAGACCTCAAGTCCTGTAGAGTCAGGTGTGTGGTTTGTCACAGATTGTTTTTTACACGGTTTCCTTCCCAATTGTAGCCAGCTGGGTTCCAGAGGGATTTTTTCATGGATTTAGTAAATTACCCTGGAGCCCAGGGTATTTCCGAGGAAATTTAGTTTTTGTCTTTTCATTTTCCTAATAGATCTTTTTACCTTGGACGTATTGTTTTATAAATTCCATAAAATTTGTCATTCTCTTGAGAATAAGATTCGTTTGAGTCGTATCCATATTTATGGGGACATTTACTCAAAGAAATGATACTCTAGGAAATGACACATGGTCTGAAATGTGTTTTGTTGATTTTTATTTGGTCATCCCCCTAACTTTATATAAATTTATCATAACAGTGAATACTCCAAGGAACTCACCAGTTAATGGTCGCCGCCCAACCAGGATAACAAAACCAGCATCACCTTCAGATGGAAGCACAAGCAGCACTGGCAGTAGCACCAATAAAGACAAAAATAGAAAGGTAGAAAACAAGTCTAGCTTCAAGGGCGGATCCAGCAACAATTTTAGGGGGGCTAATTGAGTTTGGAGGGGGGGCTAATTTCTTCCGTCAACACAATGAAAAACAATAGAAAAAGCATGTAATTTTTCAGTTTTGTTTTGTTTTGTTTTTTCTGCTGAAGGGGGGCTGCAGATGCTTCAGCCCCCCTTTGCCCCCCTCCCCCCTGGATCCGCCTTGAGCTTTTCAAGCATTTTCATTATTTTTGCTTTTTGAGGACAATTTTATTTTGTCGGAAATTTTCGAAAGAGGCGTTTTGAGACAGTAAAAGAATGAGGTGCACATGACAAATTTTTTCTAGGCTTTGATGGTAATGTTTTTGGATTTGAATTGTAGATCAAAGGCAGGAAGAACAAGAAGCGTGCCCTCGAACAGTCAGCTGAAGATTCCAGTGGCAATAAACGAAAAAAGCAACAAGAATCGGACGAAGAGCCGCAAGAAGACGCCAGTGATACAAGCAGTGTCACTGGAAGGGACAGTGCTGTTCCAGGGGACTTTGACGCAAGAAGTGAATGCAGTAACACAACAAACAATGATGATAATAGTAGCACACGGTCTGATTCACCCTTAGTCCTTCCTATTATCGATAATCTTCCAGCTAAGTTCAAGAGAGTAGGATCTGGGGAAGAGAATCGTAGCTGCGCGCGCACTGATGTCGTTTTTGTTCATCCCGAGAAGCCGAAAGTCAAGGAAATTTCTAAACATACCGAATCATCTACCTCTAAGTGTTCACCGACCAAAACAGAGGTTAGTACCAGGAACTACTTGAATAATTTTTTTAAATCTTGCTTTCTGATTGGTTGGGGCACATTCTATACGACAGCACACAGCACGCACATGGAATTTTGAACTATTTCTTCAATGTAAACTGCCGCACATCCTGTTCACCATGTTCYGTTATTATTTTACCTGATAATAGTTTTGTGATTTTCATAGGCTTTGGAAACATCTTCAAGCCGAGAGCAACCAACTACTTCACGCCAGTCTCCCAAGACCATTCCAGCAACTGTTACATCACATTACGAGTCGGCGTTACGCAACATGATGGCTGGTAACCCAGAAGGGTACTCAGTGTACCCTAATGGCCAAGCCATGCTTCCTCATGGTGTTACTATACCAGGATACCCTGAAGGAGCTATTGATTATAGAATRCTTCCATATATGTATCAACAAGGCGTTTTGCCTGAGAGTAGAGAGAATGCTGCAAAGTTTACGGAAGGTTTTGAACAGTGGTATGCTYCATATCGTATGGCACATACGCAAGATGGAAGGCACTACCTACCGGGTTACCAACTCCTTGGCCGAGGAGCTGAACAAAGTGCGCTGGCCTCACGGAATCTCACACCACAGTCTCAAGCTCATGAGGCTATGATGAAAAATGCTTCATCAAGTAGGACTCTTGTTTTAGATCCAACGACTGGTTATCCTGTGCCTTTAGGAAGTCTACATTCTCATTCGCATATGCACACACATTTTCATATTCATCCGCTGGAACAACAGCAAATGCAGGCTCAAGCAGCAGCAGCAGCAGCAGCAAACATGGAACGTGCAGCATACTTCCAGGCACAAACACCACAACATCCGGGTATTGTATGGAGAAATCAGCAGTTGCTTTGGCAACATCCAGAACTCATGCAACTCCAGGCAAATGCAATGATTTCCCCTGGGGATGAACATCCACATGCCACTTCTATTCATGGACTCGGCTCGACTCCATTAGACCGACAGCTTCAACAACATGTACTACTTAATCAACACTCAAAGTATCATCACCATTCAGCCTTACAGCAACAAATGCTGCAAGAGCAAGAAGAAAGCTACATTAGACATCTTAGACATCAACAAGAGCTACAAATGAAGCAAAGACTTGAAGATGGTGCCACTAGTGAGTTATACTTATCGAATATTCTTAGAAAGGACAGTAGAAATCTCCAAAGTYCCTCACAGTTGGATAAYGTAGTCAAGAAAAGTCTTGAAAGTACTGGGGCTTATGTATCTCCGACCAAGAAGCCTGTCACTATTGACCTTTCAGAGGATTAATGAAGTTTATTTATCCACCGAAATGTTCTCAGAGGGAGACTGGTGCCCTACTCTTCTYGCTTATGCCCAGAATAAAATGCGGGACATGTTCAGCACCAGTCTTTTCTGTTATTACTACATCTGATTGCTGGGTATGAGGTTTTAAATCATTGCAACGGAAAGCRAAGTTTGGGGAACAAATATCATTTTTATACCAAGGGCTTATTCTTCTTTTTTTTTTGTTTACAATGACGCTGTTTTTGAGACTTTAACCTTGTGCCCAGCAATCTGATGGTTATTTTTCAAAGTCCATTTGTTTCTTTTCAAATTTCAAAACTGAAAGAAGAATTTAAATTCATTTTAGAGTACCTTTGGATCCCTGATATGTAGTCAGACTAGTACTAGTATTAGTTTTACTAGTTTTACTATCTGATTTATCCAATGCGTGATCTCAATATGTCTTTCACTTTCAGCCAATCAAATTGCAAGGAGAAACATTTTCCTAAGAGCAGATTTTCTATGAGTGGAAAACAGCATATATAGCTTTTGAATGGCTTCTGTATTGCGATTGGGTTGTTTCTTATCTTTGAGCTATTTGATTGGTTAAAAGCGAAAACCATCTAAGAGTCATTACCTTTTGCCTCAAAAGTCATTCATACAAATTCTGCCTTTTTTTTGTGACATTTCGATATTTTGGATCGAAAAAATGTTTACTTCAATGACAATGTGTAAAAAATATATATTTAAAGGGAATTCAAAGATAATAATTTATTGTGCAACTGGCTTAGTTGCATAAAAGATATACGACATTGATTTTGATTTGGAATTAACTGTTCATAATGCAAGATACATTCAAGGTTTAAAAAAATTCTAAAATTCTTAAGACATTTAGATATTATTGGTAATTTGAGTTAAAGATTATATATAAAGTACAAAGAAAGTTTTTCAAAGTTCTTTAGTTTTTGTAAATAGAGATATTGATTTTACGTACGGCAAGTGTTTACATTATCCATATATCCTAAAAAAACGTTGTAAACGTTGTTCCTTTTTATGTATTTGAATTTTCCGAGTTTATTTTTTTGTATTTCATATCCATGCCTCTGATATTGTTCAAATTATTTTTTCTGAAAAACTACACATTCTGTCCTTTTTTTGTTTGGCAAACTTGACGTCATTTAGGACCAAATGTTTAAGCCGAATTTTATACGTTTCAATATACAATTGACAGTATTCATACAAAACAAGTTATCATATTGTACATAAACTCAAGACGTGTGGAAAACATTAAATAGAACATTAAAAATTACAAAATTTAGTGTTATTTGGTAATGGTACTCTAGCTTCCTTCCTCTCATTCATTTTCCCCCTTCTCTCTCCTTTCTCTCTCCTGTACTATTCCTCTACTTTCTTCTCTTCAAATGTCTCGCCTTCTCCTCTCTCATCTCTTCCTCTCATTCCCATCTTTTCTCCCTTTATCCTCCCTCTCCTCTTTTCCTTCACACTCCAGTTCTCCTTTCAGACCTTTTTCCATTTTCACTTTTTTCCCATTTCATTTCTTACCTTCCCTCCTTCCTTCCCTTTACCATTTTTCACTCTCTTTCAGTAACCAACCATTTAGAAGGTAGATTTTTCACATGTCTTGCCTGTCCATCCATCTCTACATATACACTCCAAGAATGTCCACTTCTCTTTCAGCCCCAACAGAACATTCTTTTCGTAACTATTGACTTCTTCTAGTCTAAACCGGCACCTTCCATGTGAACCAGTACAGTACTCATTACCACAGTCTTGGGCAATCTCATTCAATGTTTGCACTAAGGGACCAAAAAACTCGGCAATGTAGTTACTTAGTTGGATGCAAAAGTCTTTGTTTTTGTCCTCTGACGAGCCCCAGATAACTACCCCAGATGAAGCCAACTCTGCCGATTGGGTAACAGTGGCATACATGTCTGCCTATATGTTTAGAAAAATGATGCATGTAAAACTGTTATGTAGCACAAATAGTTCTGATTGGTCAACAACTGCGCTGCATTAGTGAATTGAGCACAGTTGCTGAGGTTATCCAGAAGTGCATCCTGCATTTCAAAAAAAAAAAATCCATGCAGAGGAATTTGAAATTTCCGGTTTTAGACCACATGGTCATTCCCTAAAGAATAAGATTGTTCATTTAAATTGTATCCATAATCATGTGTCTTCTCTTGTGCAACTGTTAAACAAAGAAATGATACTCTAGGGAATGAGATGTGGTCTGAAATGGGAAAATATTATGCCCAAAGGAAAGAGGTTTATTGTAAGGCTTTGCAGAAATATATCTTTAGTAGGGCTTTTCCATATTCTCTCACCTTGTTCAGAAACATTTCAGATAATGCGTAGACAACTCTCACATATGGGAATACAGGAAGACGATGTTCATTGTCAATCTTGGCCACACGAAATGATTCCAGGATATTACCCTTGGCATAGCTTGTCTTGTTGTATTTCAAATTTGGTGACAAATAAATGGATGGGAAAATAACTGTGCTTGAGTTGAATAGCCATGACAGCTGATCATTCTGTTCTATTGTCTTCTGACTGCATTCATATGAAGGAAGTCTAGTATTGTAGCATCGAGGAAACCCATAGTATCCCCAGAGAGCTTTAGGGCGTACACTACGAGCAGTCATGATTGTACCTTGCATGTATTTCATTGCTGCGGTTTCAAATTCTTTCCTGGCTTCAGTTTCTATCTGTTGTTTAGACCAAGATGGATGCTCCTTTCGTACTAAATTCATTGACTCATTTCTTTAAAAAAGAAAGTTTTCATTCMAAAATTCTTGCAGTAATGAACAGATGCCAATCCCAGCATCCTCTAGGAGAGTAAGAGGCCATTCATTTTTCACCTGCGAGGGGCAGGCCATTAGAGGGATCACGGCCGGGGGGGTCTAAATTTGATAATTTGAGTCGCACAGCACTTTCAAAATAAACAGAATGGAAAACAATGGAGGGGCATTTTTTCTGSAAAATGGAGAGATTCAAATTTCTTGTGCGAGTCAACAATCAAATCCCACTTCCTCTCCCTTCCAATAATAATAATAACGGGGTTCTTATATAGCGCATTTACATGGTCTCAATGCGCTTCACAATCATGACCAATTAATCCCTGAATAGAAATTTTTTGACTGGTCAGCACATAGTGATCAGTGTTTGACCACCATTTTGGATTAGATAACGAGATCTAAAGACTTTTATCAGCTGATTGAAACCCAGCAATGACAAGATTTACTACAAACAGACATCCACTCTATAACTCACCTGTACAGAGATAGATGGTCCCAGTTTCTATCAAATATTGGCCTCCATTTTTCCCAGTCTATTATCGCTAAACCTTGGTAATCAACATCTGGTATAAACATCTGAATATCACTGGTGACCTTCTGCAGATGACTGTCAAGGTTGCCTAACTGAATAAAGAAATATCTACATTAAATATTTCCTTTTTACTTACCAGAGCATCCTCGCTTACTTTCCTGCGGTGAGTTACCCGCTGGGGTCAGAAGGAGACTGGTTAGAAGATTAGGGGAAAAAATAAAGACATGCCGGCATTGCTGCAGGTGTCTGTCCAATCTTGACCCAGGGTCCTCCAGTGCCTTCCTGCCTGACAAAAAAGCWGGAAGACTCTRGGCTTGAGACTGTGTCCATTATCAACTGGGGCTTGCATGTAAAGTACATTATAAACTAACCTGAGGTAGTCCCCCATTCAAAGGAGTGCCATCATCATCATAACAGGGCCATAAACCAAATGTTGGATTAMAAATATTTATGAATTCCCCATGGAAGATTTGTTGATCATTGTGAACTATGCCATATTTACTCAATTGTAGGTCAACACCCCATTTCTCTTTGCAACTTTCTGTTGGAGCATTCCACATAGGAATAAAGTTCGAGTTTGGAAGAGATGGCCCGTTGAATTCAAATGCAAAATTCTTCACTATGAAAGCAAATATTATGACGATTTTCAAAAACATTGTACAAAAGCTTTTTATAAAAAARTAGATTATGTCAGCTGTCAAGTCTCTTATGTCTTCCGCTTTTGTAGGTCTGGGCAACCTGTCGGCAACCTGGGCTCTACACGTTCGTTTATTTCTCGGAGAATATTCGTAGCAACATCAGAAGGAAAAGAACCAATCGGAATGATCGATTTTCATTGTTGTACCTTCGGAGATTCCGAAGTTTACCATGACGTACCAAATAACAAATGATCGGGAGTCGAGGGGAACTTCTTGGCAAATGGTTGATCAATCGACGTGAAAACAGCGAAAAAATTACGATTTTCTCCTCTCTAAAACACAATAATGGAATTTAAGCGAAGGAAGAAGAAACGAGGGGTTAGTAAGAAGCCATTTATCGCCAATTCTTGGGTTTATCTGTGCTAAAATTGGTCAAAATCTTCGCCATTCTTCACACGTGTACTTGTCTATCGAGACGAAGGGATTTCAACTCTACAAGGAAATAAGRAAATATCAACAAAGCATTATTGAAAACTTTTTTATTCTTATTTTAGAGCCAAGATGAGAGTGTTGAACCAAATAAAGAGGAAACTGCAGTAGCAAAGCATTTACGGTGGAATTGTCCAACAAAATCATCAACGATGATGGGCAACAAGGTCGAATATTTCATTGGTAAGAAAAGACAAAAAATATATCACCTAAAACTCCATTACTTTTTGTCTCAAATAGCCACATTATTCTGAAAACAATAATCTTTCGTTATTCATTAAATATTTCTGTTATCATATACGTTATTTCAAGGATTTTTGACGATGTATAAAAATATTTTAAGGAGAAAGTCGTTAATCGGCGTTAATACAAATCGTGATAAAGCTCAATAAATTGAAGAGTTTTGAAGCAGCTATCATCCTGAAACCTTAAATATTTATATATCTTATGTTATTTTAGTCTCGATGTAAACCTAAATAAAAATATGTAAGCTTATAACGATTTTATATTCAATATAAAAGGTCCAAAA